CATTGCTGCTCACGAGGATTTGTAATGAAGGAGAGAAACACTGCTGCTCACAAAAAAGGAAAAAAAAAAATCTTTAAATTGTATCATTATAAGGCAGTTTTTTTTTTATTCTGTCAAAACAAAAAATAAACCCACATTCACTACAGCTGTAATTAATCTACTGATCTATTATGAAACATCAATAATTTTCCCCATCAAAAAAACTATATATATATATATATATATATATATCAGCCAAACGATATTATAAATGATGTGTGCTATAAAAATAGTTTTGAGGAAAAAAAAAAAAACTATATGAAGATGAAAGTCACTAGATGGCCCCACTACAGCTCATTTTAATAATCTGTTTTAATAGTCAGAGGATGCTGGTGCCAGCAACTCACAGTGGTTTTGGACAGATAAATTAATAAATATTACCTCACCCCAATAGTATTTCTATCCAGGAGGGCATGTTATATATCGGTATCGGCTGATATCGGAAATCAGAAATTAAGTCTTTGAACAATATCGGCATATCAGCCAAAAGTTAATATCAGAAGTCCCTAATGAAAATCTATCGTCCCTCAGTTATTGGCAACCTGATCTGAGTATGTAAACACGTACCTTTTTCCCGATCCCTCTGGTCGGGGACGGGGCTGGAGACACGGGCACAAAGTCGATCCTCTTTGGAGACGAAGACACGGATTTCTCCAGATCATTGTCACTCTGTAAACACACGTTTCACAAGCGTTGGCCGTCAGTCCACCGTGGTAGGTCAAACAACAACAACATAAAAAAAAAATAAAAATCTGTGGCTAACAGGAATGTTGGAGTATTATACTACCGACTCAGTCTGTCCTTCAAAGACTGGTGGCCCTGATAACTCCCATGTGTTACACATGTCAATCTAGCATGTTTGTTCTTGTCCACTCTATTGAAACAGAGAGGCCAGCAGTGGCCCCTGGGGGCCAAAACATGCAGTGAAAAGAGACATCAACTGCCATGCAAACGACAACAGAGATGGTGAAGTAAAGGGTTCTTTTTTTGTTTACCAAACTAAGACTTTCTTCCCAGGACTGGCTCATCTGCATGGCAGCCTGAACCTCACTGTAAACACAGAGAACACAATGAATATTGTGTAAAATTTATAATGAATAAAGTCCATTTTATTTACGCTGAAATGCACAGCTTACCGTTCGTGAGCCGTTTCCCTGTTCATAACGTCAACACCCTCCTCCTGCAGGGGGCACATGTGAGAGTTAATACTCAACAAATCAATGTAATCCTTCTTTAAAAAAAAAACAGAAAAACAAAACACTTTGGACCTCACACACAGGACTGACACGTGTGAGGTGTGGAACTAGTTCCGTTTGTTGGGAGTCTGATACTACCATCCGACCCACTCTGTGAGGTCATCGGCCTGTGAACTCCGAACGTGACACTCTCGCATGTTTTGGGATACACCGTCACACCCTACGGCTCGAGAGGGAAACAGTGGTCTGACATGCTCCGAGTAGGAATACAACGCCCATAATCATCCACTGAAACTACTTTTAGTTGTTTTACAAAAGACTCATTAATTGCTGTAGTTTAAGTCATTTCCAAGGTGGTCTATATAAGTTCTTTACACGAAAAATAATGGTGAAATGAATTTTTTTTTACATGGTAACTACCAGTACATGTAATCCATGACATGCACTAAAATATTTTTTTTTTCTGACTTAAAAATGAATATTATACAGTCTGCGTTCATTACTTGTTTTATTTGATGGAGCCTGGTGCTGGGGACGCGTATCGGTGATGAAGGGACCTGTGAAGGAGAAGGCAACAATATGGTTAAACATTAAAAGGTCACAGATAAAAGCCAAAAGGAACAAAGGTGCGTCTGTTGCATCCCATACCATGTTGGGTCTGTTGACCACCGTGGTGCTGTTTCTCCGGCTGCGCAGGACCTCTCTCTGAAACACCTGGGTGTTATCACTGCAATGGCAAAGTGGTGCATTAGAAAAAAGAAAAAAACAAGGAGGAAGATGGAAAGAAAAAATCCCAGTAAAAACACAAACTCGTGGCTGTGTCATAATGTATAACCTCAGTCCATTAATCATGGGTGCACTGTTGGACCGCCTCAGTTGTCCATCAGTCTGGACGACTGAAGTTGGGATCTCCAGATCCAGCTCCATCTTCTCCTGAGCCATGAGTCCGGAGTTGTTCATTATGTTCTCGAAAAGGGGGGCTGCCCGTTTCGGTTAATGTGGTCAAAATGACGAGTTAGCCGGTGTGTTGTGCTATTCGGTTGAGCGGATAACTAACCACTAACTTGGCATATTTGAAGAAGCAGATTAGAGGCGAGTGAACTGACGCGATGTTGTTAAGTCAGAGTTAACTGTGAGGCCCTGTGGGGAAGCGACTCAACACAGGCCATTCCCCAGATCGACGCCACACTTCATTCTACCCCCACACTACGTTCAGCCCGAACCGGCTGGTGGCAACATTATACCGCTACGACCGAACACTCACACTTCTCTGAAAGTATATCATCGCTACATACCGCAAAAAATCGCCAGGGCCAGGATTCACCCTCGACCCTTAAAAGTGCTGGAGCACAAAAGTAGTGGTGGTCCAGCTCCACTCACTCCTGCATGATAGCTCAGCTCAGCTAACGTTAGCCACCTGCTTCACTATCCAATAATGTAGTTCGCCTCAAGTCTCGCGTGTTTGGCGTCAGGGTCAAAACCGCGCCACTAAAGAGAACTTTTAAACAAAACAAAAAAAAATCTATTACACTAGTTTTCTAGTCAGTCAACGGGAATAATGTCAGCTAGTTACAAATGTAGCTGCAACTAGCGAGCAAACTACAAGCACGGTTACCCCCAATGAGCTAACTGGACAAGCTAGCATGAACGCCAATGGCCACAATGGCAGACAGGCCAGCTCAGCCTGAAAATAATGGTTAAAGTCCAGCCACCGACACGACCGCGACTCATATACGTCAATAAACGAATATGTCGCAAATAATTAATTCGCTGGAAACTCTTCTAATGGTTTCTGCACGGCTTCGCTGAGAATGAAGATACCAGGTGATAAGGCACCAGTGTTAGCTTTTAGCAGCAAACTTCACGCCCCTTTCAACGCGAGCACAGCTGTCCAATCAACGAGCTCCGTGCACCGGCGTGTACAGACGAAACAAGGCGGACTCAGTCCTCAGGGTCCCGGGCAAGCTGGCTCCACTGTTACACTTTTTTTTTTTTAAATAAAACGTTTGTTTTGTTTGTGACAGACGTGTATAAACAGTGAACCATTCTGTGAACACAATTTTTGTTGCTTTTTTTTTTTTTTTTTTTTTTTCACCCGACTGTTTCCAAAGTTCAGCAGACGTCAGTGAGTCCAGGTCAGGACCTGTTTCCATGACTGGCAGAGCTAATAACAGACTTTGTTGTGACCATCACTTTCTATATAGAGAATAACAAACTGAACTGAACTGCAAGGATGCCATAGAGTATTTGAAGTACACACACAATACAGTATCCACAAAGTAACTTTTATGGCATTAAACTGGCGGGAAAAAAAAAAAGAGTTCATGATTGAAGCTAAAATTCTGATAGAAGCCCAAGGATTTACACAATTCTCAGATGGTCTTAAGTAAAAATTAGGTAGAAAATGCTGCATATAATTAAAAAAAAAACCCCAACAACAATCGCAAACCAGAAGTAGTTTAAGAGATAATATTTATTGCAGATATTCAATCGCTCACACCTTCAACTCTCGCCCCCCCCACCCCCAGTGCGTTGTGTTGATGTAGTTAACATGCACCTTGTCCCTCACTCACTGTCGTGATGAGGTGTGTAGAGTCAGTACCAGATTGCCGAGAAATGTTGAAACAAATTGTTGGCACAGAAAATTGTAATGTTATTTACAGTTTAAAAACCAAATGTACATTTGCCTTTGTTAACGTCTCAGGTCACAGCAGTGGTCAACACTTAAAAAAAAACCAAAACAGTTTGGACAATATTGTTTACATTGGCTTTCCACAGTGGAAACGCGTTCATATGGCATATGTGACGTGAGAGGTTCAATTAAGGTTTAATTAAATAATAAATGATTAAAAGACAAGTAGAAACAAATTAAATATTTTAAACACAAGCAAAAGCCTTCTAACAAAAGGCTATTATCATTTTGATAATTTCTTTTTTTTTTTCAATTATATACATGTTTTCCAGCATAAAGAACTCTATTCTTACAGCGCAAATAAAAGATGGGTAAACAGGGATACTTTGAACAGTGATATTTTGTGTTCAGTACATCACCGTATTTATCTAGGAAAAGCAGAGATTTTTCTTTTTCCATTTACTTTGCAACCACAATACAGTCACTTAAAAAAAGATTTTTGTCCCAAAATATACATAGAGACATAAGAAGAATGCAACATAGTACTTGCGAGTCCTCATAATGATTACCTACTTTAAAAAAAAGGTAAATGAGGACAAAAGGAACACATCAAAAACATGAGGTTGTAGAATTGTAGAACATCTTACTGAGCCACAACAGTTGTGATATTGTTCTCACGTTAGCAGCATTGCTTCAAACATTTAAGTCACTAAAACAATAACAGTGTGAAGGCAAGAAAACTATTTTTTTTTGTGTGTCAGTCAAAGCTGGGCTCCATTGCTGTTTAACACAGTTGCAGTTCAGTGAAAAGCAAATGGTTTTACCCTGTTGTGTGGATAATGATACGACAGTTAAAGCAACGCAAATCAAGGTGTGCCTCAGGGATCCTGAGCAGGCCGAGCGAAATTTCTGACAAGTATTTAGCGATAATAATGTAAAATTAGTCTAAAAAAGAATTTATATATATACATATGTATATATATATAAATCGTTCATCTAATGTTAACAACAGCTATTCTTCATGCTTTGTACTTCTCCTTCCCTGTGTCACTAATGACACAGATATGCTGCAATGGGAAAAACAGACACAACCAAAGATAATCAGTATATATATATATTTTGTTATTTAGACACATTATATGCGACTGCTTTATCATTTTTTCGTGTTGTTATTGAGCTCAAATACTTACATTTAAATCTCTGAAGTACTCGTTGTAGTCTAATGCATATCCAACCACAAACTTGTCAGGGACCTCAAATCCAACGACTACAAAAAGCAAACAAATAATAATTAAAAAAAGTTTTTTTTTATTTAACTTCTACTGAACTTGATCATGCTAACTCCTAATTAGGAGCACACTGTGTGTTCCGTTACTTATTGGCCGGTTCATGAGGTATGGCAAAAGATAAATGGTAACGGGCGACCTCTGGTGGTCAAAAGTGGTACTATAGCACAAAACATGTTTTTCTGATTTTTGTAAAATTATTATACAAAAAAGGAAGTCACACAGAGTCAGGGTTCACTGGGCTCAACTGGCTGTGATTATAACCACATCTTAAATAAAATGTAAGAACTTTTTTTTGCGTGTAGTGGAACAGGAAATTCTTACCATAGTTTTACAACCTACAATTCTGACGCCATCACGTCACAAGAAAATTACAGGTAAATATTTACATATGTTAACAAATCCATGCAACAACCAAATAAGGCTGATCTGTTCTGACGGTAACTGCCAGCCTGGTTGGAGCAGGACGTACCTTATGAAGTGGCCAATGAGTACGTTCCACAAACAACATAAGGAATGTTTATTTACTCACAGTCTGGTCTGTAGCCGACACTTCTGGGCGTTCTCTTCACCAGCAGACTGAGGACAGACACCAAAGGGAAGACATGTGTCAAGACTCAATTCAGCAAGAAGCTTCTTACAAAACCAGTTGTGTGTGTATATACATAAAATATCATGGGATTAGCTCACCTCGCTACTTTAACCATTTTTGGATTGTACTGTTTGAGAAGCTCCAGCAACGTTTTCATCGTCTTCCCTGTGTCAATAATATCCTTGACAAAAACAAAACAAAAAAACAGAGAAGTTATTTTAGTAACTTTGGATCCAGGGTTTTCTGCTGTATCTCAGTAAAATCTCAGACTTACCTCCACAATCAAGACGTTCTGTGTAGGGGGAAAAAAAAAAAATCATTTTTAATTCATAAATTAATTCAACTCGTGTATATATTCTCCACAATAATGTAGCTCTTACTTTGCCCGTCAATGTAGACAGGTCGTCGCCGCCGATGACTTTGATTTCACCTGTTGACTGGTCGTTCTGTTAAAACAATTACTTTTGTTAAACATGTGCAAACACGTCAGAGTGAGCCCATATACCAACACGGGGACACACGCCATAGCTTGAGAACCACCGTTGTAGTCTGTTGTGGATAAAATAATTGCGATAAAAGGAGGCCTAAAACTGAATCTGATTTATCATCAGGCAGCTGATGATCAATCACGATTAATTGGTTGCGTAAGTAAGACAAAAAAAAAAAAAAACATTTTTCACCACAGTATGTGTAAATGACATCTTTTGTCGACTCTGCATTAGAGCAACAGTAAGTTAATGAGATGGTGTTTGCTTACACAGTAGCTCTTGAGGCGAATGAAGTCCACGGTCATCGGGATGGAGCGGTCACTGTTCCTGTTCAGGGCCTTGATGTAATCCAGCAGATCGGCAAAGAACTTGTACCCTCCCTTCAGAACACACAGGGCCACGATGTGATGGCCTCCCATTTCATTCATAATTTCCCGGGCCAGTCTCTCTGTCCTGGTGTCAGGCGGGAGAGGAGAACGGGAGAGCGAGGGGGTAGGATGGAGGGGGAGGGGGGCAGAGAGGGGAGAGATAGACTGTTTATCTACTATCGTCAGCGACAGTTTTCATTCGCTCCGCATCCGGCAGCTACAGATGTTGTTACGGAAACCAAATTACCACGGTGATGTGTTCAAGCTCCAGTGTGTTCCAGTGACACCCAAAGGAAAAGGCCACAGATTTGGGTTTGTTTATTGCCTGACAAAGATTAGCCTGTTTTCAGTATCATGGGGAAACAAAATGTCACAAGTGTCAGGGACCAATTCTGAACTTCTCCTCATAACCTTGGACCTCAAAACGCTGAGGACGGTGTTTTAAGGTCATTTTTTCCCCCCATTATTAACTAGTGTTTAACCATCACCAACTCATGTGGTGTCAGATCTTATTAACCAGTCCTGTGATCCTACCTGTCAACAAAAACTGTTCCACCCCAGAGTTCAAATTACAGGGGGTACTGGGAGGGTCCGCACCCCACCAGTTAAACCAAGACCACCCCTAAAGAGATAAATAACAGTCCTGGGTGGGGTCATGACCTGTCAATGTTCATACAGTTCATTTCTATTCTTATCATTTTAGGACATAGATATATATAAACAGAAACACTTTCACTTTCACCTTTAACACGGGCGACGTGGAAGCAAAATGTTTCTTTAATTTTCAACAAACGACTGGTTTATTTGTCTGTCGCGCTTTAGAGAAATGCTGAATATAGAACTAGAGTGGTTAGAATGTGCAATTCTAAAACCCTAACCCCTAATCTTTTTTACATGACAGACATTTTACACGTGCCTTTATTGAAAAGAATGTGACTTTAGCACTGTGTCTGTGAGATCTGTTATTAGTCCGAGTGTAAAACATGAGAAAAAAAAATGTGTTCATAAATATTATGAGGAAGTAGAAAATGACACAACAAACAATTTGACAAGTAGAAACTGTCAGGAAAACACTACTTAATCGTCATAGCAACAGAAACAATAAATACTACTATGGTGCAATGGTGTAACAACATGAGCAATTCAAAGGTCGTGACCCTTAAATACAGAAGACTAAATGGCACTGTGCTCTGACCCACCTGTCCTGAATGAGTCCATGTGGGATGTAGACCCTCTCCAGGTCAGAGCTGTAGTGCTTTGGTATACAGAAAAGGTCCAGGTCGTACCCCTGCTCCTCGTCGCTGATCTGACAGGAAACATGACACGTAGGGGTTAATATTCCGAGGGGTGTTACCTCACAAGGGCTACAGTTCATTCATCTGACCCGGGTCAGTGGACCAGGGTCCAGTACCGGTCTACGTTTACAAGTTAAAGAAAATACTAAGAGCAAATATGTAGCTGTACTGCAAACAATCCAGAGTTTGACTTTCTTCCCGCTGAGGCACAGCTCAATGGTGGGATCATTTACACTGTGCAACCTTGGTCATACCTCCATAAACAAACACCATCCAGGGATTCAACAGTTCGTAGAGTGAAGTACACACGTTTGTTACTTTTCCCCAATAGAAACCAAAATTAACCGCAGTAACAGTAAAATGTGTCACATGATCACAGACGGACATAACTGGGATCATATGACAGCGAGAGGCTGGTACTGAGCTCAGGGCAGAAGTGCAACAGACTTAAAGGGAACATTCAAAAACCATATATATTTTCAAAATACTATCTGAGAAAAAAAAAACACATCAACCTACGCTGGAATGTAAAAACAGTTCCAAACAAACTTGCAACCAAAACAACATAAGAAATTATAGAATTGTTACAATCGTTTGTTGACTGTTTGTACTTGGTTTTGTTGAATGTTTGTACTTGGTTTTGTTGAATGTTTGTACTTGGTTTTGTCATCTCTGTCAAGTGCAAACTTTAACAGTATTAAGAATATAACCGGAACATACAGCGGAACGTAAACATATTTTTCATACGCAATTAAAAAAATGGTGTTAAATGTATACAAAAGTCAAGCCAAGATAGTTCTTATATAGTAAAAGTGTAGCCGAGGTATTTCATATTCCATATATGTAAAGGGTAGGTAGAAAGTAGCTAGGTAGTAGTAGTAGTAGTAGTAGTAGTAGTAGTAGTAGTAGAGGTATTAACTTGGCCTCTTTACTCTGGATCTGGGAAGTCAGGTCGGATTTTGGCGTTCCACTCACAGAATGAATAAACTTTACATGTTCATTATCCAGGTACTGAAGGTACTTTATACAAAGTGCAAACACGCCTCTGAATTCTCATTTGTTTGGTAACACATGCAAACGCTCGAGGTCATGACACCTTATCGCTGCACAGCCAAACCCTAAAGTTACAGGGGAAAAAAAAAAAAACCAGGCTGTTAAAAACAGTTAGACTTTAGCCTGGTCAGACCTACATCTCAGGTCAACGTAAACGAAAGGTCTTATTGAGACAATTATTAACTAAATATCGAGAACTATTTATCGAAATGATCGGTTTTCACATCGTGTGGACGATACGTATCAAAATGGGTATATAAATAGAGTTATGTTATGCATCCCTAATAAGAGTATAGATATTAGAATATACTTTTATGCTAATTTCTGCGACGCACTTTGACCAATTTGGCGGCACACATTTAGGTCGCAAAGCGACATTTATATATATATATAAAGACCCTAACCATCTTAATTCCTATATTCTAATAAATCATGAATAATCACCATATAATTTGTCAACAAAAAAGCCCTACAATAACAATAACAACACCGTAGGTTCCCCATCTGTAGGTGTCTTATTGACGAGCCCTACTTCACAGCAACCGGTCTAAATAAGGGAATGTAAAGCTGTTACTACGCGAAACACGCGGCGTCTGCGTGAGTCACGTACGTCTAGTGTGAAGAACGCGTGTCTGCACTCACTGCTGTCGGTCGCGGCCCACGCTATACATCGTGAAATGCCATGTAATTAACAGTTAAGGGACGAGCTGCAGCCGCTGGACGACTCGGAGGCTGGAATCGCGGCGCAGCAGGGACTCGCGTTCCGCTGGCGCCGCGTTTGCCTTCGCGCTCGGTCGTCAGTTGAGGAGGGTGGAGGTCTTGGATACTGCACTCACCACAACACAAGAGCTGGATGTCGCCATGTCCGTCTGCGTTATCGGTCCTTCAGTCTTCCGCAGGCTGCCGTGTCCTCACACACTCTCAGAGGAGGCTGCTGGAGCAGGGCCCGGCTGACGCTTCACACTTGTGACAGTGACTAACGCATGGAAGTGGAGTGGAGACGACACAAAAAAAAAAAAAGGGGGCACTCTATGTGTCTACTTCCGGTTAGTGGTTTACGCGCAGGACAGGCGGAGTAGGCTGGCGCGCGTAGGCAACGTCACGCTCTAGTCCCGCCCACTAAACCCGGTCCTTATCAGTGATGACAGGCGAACGATAGTAACATACGTTTGTAGGACAACTTGAACCCTCACTACGATCGAAAAATAATATTAAAAAAAAAAAAAATTCAACTATTTATTTGGTAATTTATCAGCAAAGCAGGAAAGGAGATCCGACTCAGAAGTACTGCACCTGTTTCTACGGCTACATTCACGTTCCGCAGCAGTCAATGAATGACGCAATACTAGGCTCGACCTAATTAGAGTGCCGCGCGTTTTTCAGCGAGAACGGCATTGAAGGCTTTGATGTGCATTTTTTTCTGAGAGCAGGTTGGTCAGTCACGCGACATGGTTGTCGCTTGACTCAAATTGTTAAGTCGCGTTGGATAAAAAAAAAGTAACGTAACGTGACAAGGTAGCTACTTCAGAGCGAACATTTATGGAGTACGACAATTGAAAACAGCAAAGTTTTAATACCTAGCAACACGTGTTTTACCTGAGCACGGTACACAGTAGGAGGTACAGCAACACCAGCTCGTATGACACGAGGTAAATGAGCAACATAGCATAGCATAACATCACTGATGTAAATAAACGTGGGAGTCGCAATAGGAACTACGATGCGATTGGCCGTATGACGGGGTTTATATACGTAGGTGATTAGGTAGAGTGGTGATGTGACGTCATTAACCCTTATCGTGTCTTTTATCTCGCGTGAGAATAGTTTTCTTATGTCTTTTAATGCACTGTACGTATGGGACGTGTTTAGGCAGGCATGTGTGTGCGTGGGTGTACTGGTGGAATGTGTGTGTGTGTGGGGGTGGGGGGGAGAGGGGGTGTATGTATACCTATATTACCGTGTAAAGCACTTTGAGCTGCTGCCTGTGTAGGAAAGAAACTTCAAATATAAAATAAAATATTAGATATATGAATAAAGTACTATAGTGTTTACAGTATTTTTGCTTGTTCAAATACTGTGATATAAAACACTGGTTCCCAACTTTTTTTTTTTTGTACCAAGGACCGGTCGATACTGGCGAACCCGTAATACCGTGCCATCGTTAAAGGTTCATTTTCAATTTGTCTGAGGGCGTTGGTGGGTTTGAAATGGACAGGGAT